TGTGAGAAAAATCTCTCCCCAAATTAACAGTACCAAGAAATGGACATAATTTAAGAAAGCACAACAAAGCAAATACAAAAAAAACCCCAAAACAAAACAGAAAAGAATTTGGTGTGCTGGAATACACAAAGAATTTCAGTATTTGAGAGGCTGAGGTAGGGAGACCAGATTTTGAGGCCACCATAGACTACATAGACAGAACCTGTCTCAAAAAAGATAGAGAAGGAAACACAACTTCTGGAACTGAAAAACACAGTAACAAAAACGAAAACATGCCCATTGCAGTTCAGGAGCAGATGTGAATTAGTAAGAGAGAATAATGAATGTGAAGGGAGTCTTAGTTGCGGTTTCTATTGCTGCAGTAAAACACCATGACCAAAAGCAGCATGGGGAGGAAAGGAGTCATTTCCCTCACAGTTCCACATAACAGTTCATCATCAAAAGAAGTCAGGACAGGAAATCAAACAGGCCAGGAACCTGGAAGCAGGAGCTGTCGCAGAGGCCATGGATGAGTGCTGCTTACTGGCTTGCTCCTCATTGCTTGCTCAGCCTGCTTTCTTATAGAATTCAGGACCACAAACCCAGGGATGGTCCCGCCCACAATGGGCTGTGTCCTCCCCCATCAATCACTAATTAAGAAAATGCCTTATGGGCTTGTTAATCTTTTTTTTTCTTTGAGACAGGGTTTTTCTGAGTTATAGTTCTAGCTGTCCTGGAACTAGCTCTGTAGACCAGGCTGGCCTCGAACTCACAGAGACCTGCCTGCCTTTGCCTCCCAAGTGCTAGAAGGCATGTGCCACCACTTTCTGGCTGCCTGCAGCCCAATCTTATGGAGGCATTTTCCCAGATGAAGTTTCTTCCTCTCTGTTGACTCTAGCTTGTGTCAAGTTGACATAAAACTAGCCAGGACATATTACAATCTCAAAAATAAAAATAAAAAGTGGAATTGGGGTTAAGGAGATGACTCAATGGATACAGTGCTAGCCTCATAACCATCACAACCTCAGATCTATGCAGAGAGACCCCATGAAAAACCTTGCACATATGTGTATTTGTAATTACAGCACTGGGGAGGGAGGGACAAGAGGATCGCTGAAGCTTGCAGACAGGAAACTAGCCAGTGAGAGATCAGATGTCAAAAAACAACATATATGTCTTCAGAGGAATGATTAGGAAGCACATCTCTGGCCTTCAAATGCATGTGCAAACATAAACACACACACACGCACACACACACACACACACCATAAAATATTTATTCCAGGAATGTAGTATCAGTGAGGATGTGAAAATCTGACAATGTAAATTTTGGACCAAAATTAGTATTCAGTAAGTTTTCACCAATAATAGTCTAATTTTCATAGAAAGATGGTTAGCTGAGTAGAGTTCTTTTATACTCTGGGATCTGAAACTTGTTACAGAGGGCTTGCTAACACTGTGAGCTACGCCAGTCAAGAAAAAAGGAAAAAAAAAAACTGAAATCATCACAGTCGTAAATTAAATTAGGAACACTTTCCATAAGTAATAAAAGGACCATAAGAGAATAGTATGATAATTAATTGCATGACAACAAAGGAGAATACTTGCCTAAAATATTCAGTAGCAAAAACTACTGAAAACACTGAATGATAAATAAAATGAAACAGGACCATTAGTAATCAGAGGCAATGAATAAGTATCAAATATCCTTCAGTGGTAGATTTTATGGAAACTGTAAGGAAGAATTAACACCCATATTTCTCACATTCTTAAGAGAGAACGTATAAAACACATTTTAATGAAGTCTAGGAAAGCAGAGTTACTCTGACACTGAGGTCAGGTGAAGGCATCAGAAAAAGAAAGCAAAGCTTTATAAATGCAGATGTAAGTACCTGGAGCACATATACCAGCAAGTAGAACCCAGAAGAATACAAACTGAATTTACATATGGGTCAAGAAGTATCTATCCCAGAAACACAAAGATGGTTCACTGCACAAAATTCATCAGCATAACACATTAAAAGGGAAGAAAAGGTGTGGTGTGGTGACTCATACCTTTAATCCCACCACCTGGGAGGCAGAGACAGGCAGATCTCTAAGTTCGAGGCCAACCTGGTGTACAGAATAAGTTCCAGGACAGCCAGGGTTACACAGTAAGACCAATAAACCAAAATAAATAAAAGAATGAATAGGGGAAAACAAAACAAAATAAAACACCATATAGCCATTTCCACTGACACAGAAAAGAGATGGACATTATCAATCATTCTATATGTATTAAACACACACACACACTCACACACACACTCACACACACACACACACACACACACACACACACGGAAAGAATAAAGAGAACATCACATCATTGAAGCTGCTTATGATAAACTCATAAGTACCATGATCCTAAATGCTAAAAGCCTAAAGATTTCTTCTTTTGTATTTCAATTTTTCACACAACAGATTTTGATCATATTCTTCTCCCTCCATCAACTCCTCCCAGATCCACCCAATTTCTTTACTCACTGAACTTCTCTTTCTAAAATTAGAAATAAAATGGGGGCTGCTCAATCTTTAAGGGCATGTACTACCCTTACACCCGCCCACACTCACATCCAACATCTTCGGCTTTTGCGGGTAACTTCACATACCCCCACACATACGCACATAATTAAGAATCATAAAACTATTTCTAATGGAACAAGTGAATTAACAAGAAGGTCTGCTTTTACCACTTCTATTCAAAATTGAACTGAACATCCTAGTCATGACAAATAGGCAATGAAACTAAATAACAGGGTTTCAAAATTTAAAGAGTAAAATATGATTTTTTCTATTCACAGGTAAAATGAGTCTTAAATGTGAAAGATTCTAAGCAAATGAACACTGCCTAAAATATGTGAAAATGTTCATCATTGCTTTCCATTGTAGACACGAAAATCAAAAATTTCTTCCTCATCCTAGCCAGAATGTACACTATAGAGAAAAACAAAAGCAAACCCCATAAGTACTAGAATGTGTGGAGCGTATCCTTATACACCTCTAATAGTAATGTAAACTAGAATAACCACTATAGAAATTACTACACAAACTAGAAAATATCATAAGTCTTATCTCCCTAGCTTCAGTCATATGCTCCCAAAGGAATACAAATCATTATACAACAGAGATATTTTCACATCCGCAGTTATTGTGACCATCTTCCCAAAGTCAAGATTGAAGTTCCAAAATAGGTGGATAAAAAACATGATGCTCATATACACAATAGCAATTTTCACAAACTCAAGATACACCTTAAACTCTACAAATAGATGGATAAAAATGCGATGTACATATACACAATGGAAATTCATCCATAAAACGAACAAAAATAGATCATTAGCTGGGAAATGGGTGAAACTGGAGATCATCATTTTTACGAAAATAAGGCTGTCTCAGAAGACAGCCATATCATGTTGTCTCTCATAGGCAGAATCTTAATTACAACACAATAGGAATAAACCATGAAAGGAGGAGGGGTACTATTTGGAGGATCATAGGAAACTAAAATGAAGAAGGAGCAAACAAAAGAGGATAATGAGACAGAAAAATAAAGACAAATGCATGCCTTTCCATATATGGGAATAAATTTGTGCTGGATGTATGGATGGTTGGGACTGTTTGCACACACACACACACACACACACACACACACACACACACACCATGAAAGCAGAGTAGGGCGTTACTTCTGGAGAAGACAGGGACAAAGGAGGTGGCCAGTGGATGAAAGAGCACAATGAAGGTGATTATCAGCAAAGGTAACCATTATACATGTCTGAAATGGCATAGTAACCATTAGCTCTGTAACCCATTGCTAACCAGTAATGACCAATGGGTATTGGGGGAACAAAAAGGTCTCATGTATACTGCACAGCAGGGTGACTACAGATAACAGCATTATACTTCCTATTTTAAAACTACATTTAAAGTATTCGCCAGAAAAAATGAGACCGTTTTAAAGAACTAGGCATGCTTATCGTGACTGAAATATGTAATATATATGTCTACCATACTACTTAAAGTACCTCAATAATGTGTATAGTTTTATACTTTTGCATAAGATATGTAAAGTGAGAATAATTTTTTTAAAGAAAGGTAGCCATCTGTCCTCTGACACCTACAATGTAAAAGCAAACCCTCAAATCTAAGGTCATCTGTGTTCTGGGAGCGAAAGAGTCCACAATTACAAATTTGACCTCGGCTTTTTGGTGCTCTTATTTGAAATTAGACCCCTTGAACGGAGCCCCCTCCAACCTTTGCCAATGATGGAATCCACACTGGATTGACAAGCCCTTCTGTCGGAGTCCCCTGGGGACAACTCAGGCACGCCCAGAGATTTTGGCATCCCCTCTCCAGCCTCCTGCAATCTCCTGACCTGTGCGTCTCTCCTGCTGTGTCCAGCTACTAGCAGGACTCCACCCTATGTGGCTTGGAGGGCAGAGCTGGTGGAGGTGGAGGGCGAGACTGGATCACAAATCCTTTGTAGCAGCTCTGTTGTCTCGAGTGACAGGCCGCGTACAGTGCCACGGATTTTGCTGAGTCATGGCCACGAGCAGTTTTAACACTATTAGAGCATCCAAATGGACATTCCCTTTTGGGTGTGAAGTTTGGGGATTGTTAGTAACATATAGACGTATTTTCTCAAGTTAAAAGCTTGTGAGCTAGGCGTTGGTGGCACACGCCTTTAATCTCAGCACTCGGGAGGCAGAGGCAGGCGGATCTCTGTGAGTTCGAGGCCAGCCTGGTCTACAGAGTGAGTTCCAGGACAGGCCCCAAAACAATACAGAGACACCCTGTCTCAAAACAATTAATAATAATTATTAATACTGTTAACATGTCCAAATTGTCATTCCCTTTCGGGTATGGAGTTTGCAGATTGCTAGTAATTTATAAACCGTGTTTTCTCATATTAAAAGCCTGTGTCTCTTCTGCTACAAGTTGTCACAGGGGACTTGGGGAAATAAGTGGTCCCCGTATTGGAACATTTTACAGCAAATCCATTGCGATGCAGGAATTAAAAGACCACGTGACCTTCCACAGCGCTTACGAGCCTCTGAGACCCTTGAGCTCTCATTGGGTGTGTGGCTTGCCAGATGATTATTTCCCAACCAATGAGCTTAGAGCTCTTGAGGCCAGAGGCCAGCCTTTTGTACCTTGGAGTTTCCGCTAACCACCAAGGCATATCCGGGGATGGTCTCATCTCCACAGAAGTTTCTTGTCCTTCCTGCGCAGACTCAGACTGTCGTTGCCCAGAAGACTTCCTTTAGGTGTGAGGCCACCACCTCTGCACTTCCCAGAATTCCCTGTGCCTACACCCTGCTACAAAATCCCCAGTGCTCGTCTGGAGAAGTGTGCTGCCGTCCTGTGAGCTGCTGCCACTGCTGTTGGCTTCAGCTTTAGTGCAGTTTCGCACAACTCCTGGCCTCCGGGTGTCCCTTGCGACATGGCCTACATCAACTGTCAAGACTGGGCTGTAGGTGACTTGTGCCGCAGAGCTGCTAGCGATGGAGACTTGGACTTGAGGGAAGAATTCCTCATAGTAGCTCTGTTGTCTCTCGAGTGGCTTCTATTTGTGGGAATCCTTGGCTTCCTGACTTTCCAGATAATTTTGCAAACCATTTGGAAAAATGAGGAGGAGGATCAGGAGGTGGCTGACATCACCATATTGCAGAAACCTCCACCCTACAATGAAGAGCAGCAGAATGTGTATGAAGAAGAGGATGGATTTGAGTTCGATTTCGGTGAGGATTTTTATGAGGACTTGGACTTCAAGGAGTACTCGAATGAAGAGGACAGTGAGGAGGAAGATGATGACGATTCAGGAACTTCAAGTGTCTGTGAGTTATGGTTAGGTTTTGGTCCTCATTCTAGATTGTGATCGAATTTGTTCTTCACTGTTATCTGATAGAAGGACCTTATTCTTACTGTTGTTGAGCATCACAAATGTCTCATGATAGACAGGTACTACACTGGGATGTGAAGCCTTGCAGATGAGCCTGTGGGCTGGGGAATAGGAAAGTGACCATGCAGGAGAGGGATTACCAGGCTGGGAGGCATAGGACCTCATAAACTAAGCAGCCTCTCAGAAGGCAGACAACTGGGCAGCCTATACTGAAGAGCAGGGGCCAGACATCTGCAGATAACTGGAATGCAGCCAACCCAGGATTGTGCAGCTGCAGGCAGAGTGGTGCTCAATTCCTCCACCCTTGCTTCTGCCTTTGACACTTCTGGCTCACATAAAATCCATGCTCAGAACTTGCCCATCCTGATTAAGTGATGATCCAGTTTCTGGAAATTTGGGGTCCAGTGCACCCAAGTGGAAGCCCAAGTTAATAAAGACCCTGTAGTGTGGAGAAAAAACGTAAGTTGCCTTAAAATCAACCTCATATAAATCTATGAGAATTATTAACTGTTACTAGAGTACTTAAAAGATTCATTAGTTGTATGTATCTTCAAGGACTGAGCAACTTCAAACCTAATATGACTTTTTAAATTGAAGGCAAGTGAATTCATTCCTCCTCATCCCCTCTCTCCTCTTTTCTGTCCTCTCTCCTTTTTAAATTTGTATTTGCCATCCTCAAATTGCTAGACACATGAGGTACATCTTTAGACTTTATTTTTTGCTCTTTTGGTCAGGTGATGTTGGCACAGGCCTTTAATCTCAGAATTCAGGAGGCAGAGGCAAGTGAATTTCTGTGAGTTCTTGCCAGCTTGGTCTACAGAAAGAGTTCCAGAACAGCTAGGGCTGTTACACAGAGAAACTCTGTTTCAAAAAAAACCCATTTTTTTTGCTTTTTTTGTTGTTGTTGCTCAGGTGAACGTGTACACACACATATAAGAGATCAGCCAGAGGAAAGCTTTGTGCGTGTGTATGTGTGTGTGTGTGTGTGTGTGTGTGTGTGTGAGAGAGAGAGAGAGAGAGAGAGAGAGAGAGACAGAGAGAGACAGAGAGAAAGAGAAAGAAAGAGAAAGAGAAAGAGAGGGGGTGGGGAAGAGAGAGAGAGAAAGGGGGGGGATTTCTCCTTAACTTTGAACTTGCAGATTAGGCTCAGATGGCTGGACAGTCCTTTCTCCACCTCCCTGACCCTACATTACCAGTGATGGCCATCAGGACTCTCTGTTTCATGTGTGCTTGTGTGCCTGCGTGCGTGTGGTGGGTTCAAAGCATGTTTCATGCTTATGAGGCATTTATTGAGTGAACACTCTCCCTAGCCTTTTTCATCCTATTTGAAAGAATGCCTTGTTATGTTGCCTGATCCAGCCTTGAACTCGTGGCAATTCTCCTGCCTCAGCCTTAAATGTGTACATTTTCCATGAAGTTTTGTTAAAAACATACAGAACAGAATCAGACAATTTGATTCTGATCCCCTTTCATTCTATGGTCCAGAAAGAATGAGAATCCCAATGTTGGAAAAGAGGGAAAAGTAGTAAGCAGGGAAACTTAAAAGGCAGAGAAGGTGAGAGCAATAGAAATCCTGGAACAGTTACTAAGAAGGGTCCAGGCCATCTTTTCATTTTCCTCTCACATTTCTATTCTCCAGGTTCAACCATTGATAGATTCCTACATGATGAAGTTAAGTATAAACTGTCTTATTATTTTCGTCACCTTGGTGTTCTGGAGCCACAATCAGCGGTCACTGGTGAACCAACTGCCTATGAATATGAAACATCAGATGAGTCATTTGAAGGAAATGCAGATGAGGAGCAATGGGGAGAGGACGAAAGTGGAAACTTTGAAGAAGAGCCTTACAAGGACAGGGTTTTGCCAGAATGGTACTTCCCTGAGGAACGCAGGTATAGACTTAGAGCTCTTAGTAACCACAGCCTGTTTGAGAGAGAGAGAGAGACAGAGACAGAGACAGAGACAGAGACAGGTATTAAACCAATTATGATACACTCCTAGTTAAGAAACAGTTTGAAGTTAATAATGTATTTATATATACAGAAGTCAATACATTTTATATGGATTTCATTACCAGCTGCAAGTTCTTTATCGTTGCACCTTTATCGTTGACCAACAGGAAAAGGTTACCAAAAGAATTTTTATCTCTTCTTTCTTCGCCACACAAATGTAGTCTTTCATACTAACAATACTTTGAAAGGGCTGATTATTTACAAAAAAACCTGAAAAGTTAAGGGTTTTGGGTGAAACCAGGCTTCATGATTAATGCATATTAGTTTAGCTGATATTTTTTTATATTTCATAAAATAGTCAAACAAAGCTATGGTGATTTTTATTTACTACTGAACTAAGAATGGAATCTTACATCCCCCTCTATTTATCTCTGTCTGCCTTGTTCAATTTTATTGTCTCTGAGTGTCTGATAACAGTCTTATTCGTATTTTAAAGATATTGAAACTAAGGTCCTGGGAGGTTGAGGGAATATGATGTCGGGTTTGTGTAGTGATCACAGGCAGATAACTTTATTCAGAGCAGGCTCTCCAGAGGCATAAATGAGCATTTATAATGGTGGACAGACGGGCAATGAAGTTGATGTGAGTGATGCCCTCAAATACTTTTTCTTTTTGTATTATATAAGGTTATATACTTTAAAGCAAGTATACAGTATAATTCAAGTATCTCACCCACATATTCTCCTACCCTCTCTCTTGTCACCCCTTCTCATTTCCATTGGTCCCTTTTCTTTCCAAGATGGTTTTGTAAAGCCATCCCAGTCATAAGCACCTGATAGGTAAGGGTCTGTTGCACAAGCAGAAAGTGTATTAGTTTCCCATTACTGAGAGAAGATAGTTATACCAGAATTGATCAAATTTAGAAAATCATTAGTGTCTTCTGATGCCATAAAAATATTGTTTTTATCTTATTTCTCCCTACAGTTGCAAAGCCTAGAAGAAAAGAACGTGTGGAGAAAGGGGAAAGTTAAGTTTCTGGCGTTTGGTCTAGCCCCAAAATTTGACTTTGTTCTACAGTTCATCGCAGAAAAAATGCCATCCTCTGACATCTGACTTTACACTAACTTTTCATGGATGCTTATGGCTACCTTTGTTGCTGTTAAAAATAAAAGTTTGTTTGTATTGCATAGGCTCCAGGGTTGTTATGTGAATAACAGCAACTCAGATTTAATTTTATACGTTTTCTTTCTAGAGTTGCCCCAGCTTACTGGCACTAAAATGAATTGTTTTCCACTCTTGATGGTGAGAAATGGAAGTCTAGTTCTTAATGCGTTTCATTGAACAAAAAAGTACCCAGCTTACCAGGATGCTAAGTGATCTACTATTGAGCTACTGTGAACCACTAGCAGCAGCAGCTGGCCGTTCACTAGAAATGTACATTCTTGGACGGTACTCCAGGCCTACTGAAGCAGAGATCCTTAAAGCAGACCTTTATTCAGGTTTCCTAAGTGTTCCAGCTTACCTCAGAACAAACACACTATTAGCAGTGTATATTTTCTGAAATGCTTGCAAAGTTAAATGCAGATTCCTTTCTACCAATTCGAAGTACAAATGTACTTTTCATGAAGAATATTCAGTGCTCCTACCAAATACTTTTATATAAAATTTGAAAACAGGCAAAAAAATCACTGCTTATTTTATATTTATAGTGAGAGACATACATACATGGAAATAGCGTTTAGAAAATAAATGTGAGCCAAAGGGTGATAGCACGTACCTTTAGTCTCAGCACTCTGGAGTAAGAGGCAGGCAGATCTCTGTGAGTTAGAAGCCAACTTGGTCTACAGAGCGAGTTCTAGGATGGCCAGGGCTACACAGAAAAACCCTGTCTCAGAGAGGGGAGGGAAATATATGTGAAAAGGATAAACATCTTATTTAGGACAATGATTACAACTTATGGAAAGCATGAATTCAGTTAAGGGCATTCACTGTGCATTTCAATTCTACTGGTAATTGCATTTGGGAGGTGTGTGCACAGATGTAAAAGGTTCTGGGAGCTACATGCACAATATATCTGCAAGATGCAATTGAACTCAGCAAGGTGTAAAACTTGGGTATTCATACTGACAGCATGGATTCTGGAGACAGACCTCTTGGATTTGACTGCAGCTCTACATTGCAATCTTTATTGTTTCTGAGGAATTTTCTTTTTGAGGCAGGGTCTCACTACACATCCCTGGCTGACTTGGAACTCAGTATATGGGCAAGAATATCCCCAGACTCACAGAGATCCACCTGCCTATGCCTCCCAAGTGCTGGGATTAAGAGCATGCACCACCATGCCTGGCCCCCCAGCTCAACATCCTACCAGACGGTATAAATTAGAGCAAATATTTAATCTCCATATACCTGGTTTCTCATATGTAGTTTGTTTGTAATAACTGTGTATACTATAGAGAGTAAAATGAGAAAAAATAAGCGTTTAAATACAGTTTCTGGCAAATTGCTTTGTAGTTATTAAAAAGCGATGTATTGTTAGCTTGATATATTTAAGAATTCACTAATACTTCATAAAACGTTGGATGAGTTGTCCAAATTTTTCTGTTCCAATTAATTTTTATACCTTAGACTGAGGGCTTTAATACAGCTTCTTAACTAGCTAAAACTAGTTGTTTTGAGTTGAAGAACGAGTAGGCAATAGGCCAGCCTAATCTTTTCTTAGCATAATTCCTGGAATAACTTAAAAGAATAGGCATTTATGGGAGAGAGACTGGGAGAGCAGGGGGCGAGACTGCAGCTGAGATTTAAAATAAATAGGTGAAAAGGTTTAAAATAAAAATAGAAGTTTATTTGGGCTATGGTCAAGAGGACACAGTCCACCATAATAGGGAAGCTATGACAGGGCGAGGTAAAGTGAACTGGTGATAACAGGAGCATTTGACAGAAAGCAGCTTGGGCTGAAGTAGTACCAGACTATAATCCTCAGTGTCCATCCCTCCAGCAGCCAACTTCCTCCGTCTGGGTCCTACCTCCTAAGGATTTCACAAACTCCCAAACAGCACTACCAGCTGGGGACTAAGTATTCAAATACATGAGCCTATCAGAGGCATTTTACATCCAAAGCAAAAGAGCTTTTGTTCCAAATATGCTCCATTGATGCTAGCAATTCTAGAACCAGACAGTGAAAAGAAAAGCCTCCCACAGGTCTCCCAGATGGCATTCCAATAAAATAGTATCAAAAATATCAACCAAGTTTGGTGATACATGTCATGATATTTTAATCTTTAATCTCTGCATTCCAGAGGCAGAGATAATTGGATTGGCGAAAGGTCAAGGCTAACCTGATCTACATAGTGAGTTCCAGAATAGCTGGAGCTATATATATTCTGTCTCAAAATAAAAGAAAAACAAGACAAACACAGAATCAGGAAAAAATGGTGTACTATATAGTGTTACATCCCAGAGACTTGCTGCATCATGGGATACTTAGTTTGGGTAAAAGCTTCCAAAGGAATTAATATGCATTGTGGATTTGGGTCCTTGTCCAGAGAGGAGAAAGTCTACATTGGTCTGTATAGCTCTGCGGTCCCAGACAGTTTGTGGAATTCAGATGTACAGGATTTCATTCTATGGTCCAGGTATTTCATTTTGAGTATGAGACACATTGTTAGGTAGTCTTAAGTTTTGGAAACACCAACCTCACAGTATTTGGAGTATTCCTTTTTGAGATAATCATTTTACTTTCAGTGCTGGAGAGCAAACCCCAGGACCTGTTACATGCTCAGTAAGTGCTGTACCATTGAGCTACAATTTTTGTAAACCTGACTTTCCAGAGTATAATTTTACTCTGCACAAATTATCCCTGCTGAAAGATGAGTTACATAGGACTTTATACCAATCTCTGCATCATAAACATACTATTTAACTGGAGATGCAGGGTCTTCTGTATGTTATTCATATCACTCAATAACTTTAGAGCCAGGTGTTTGTGACAATAGGAACACTTTCAGAATAAAAGAATCAAAAGATTTCTGCCACCAAACTCAACAGATCTTTGTGCATCACTGAGCTAAAATTTGTGAAGCTAAATGATTGCCTCTAGCTATTAATGTTCATGACTCATCTCAGCTTTTAAGTGCAAACCATCTTGGACAGACTTTGGACAATGACTAGCAAAGGCCTAATGATTTCCTCCCAGAACAAAATTCATTTAATGGAGGTTTTTGCTTCCAAGCTCCCCTGCTTTAATGGCTATGATTTTTTTTTAGATCTGCACTGAGGTCTGAGTCTCCTTCTCCATGGTCTTGCTTCTTCCCCTTTACTTTCTTACTGTTGACCTCTAATAGACCTCTTGGGCTATGACAGCTCCCACTCAGTGTCTGTTGCTGGGAGGGCCCAAATGATACAGTCTCTTACTGGAGACATAAATATGTTTTGTGGGTAGTAGATGTATTTGCTCCCTTTGAGGTTACTCCCACAGGAAATAAACTGTATCACTGTGTGCTTGTCCAAGGAGAGATAATGAAAATAATGTGTTTCTCATACTGATCACTCTGCTCAGTTATTTTGTAGTGCAAGTGGCTAAGTACTTCTATCATCATAGAATTATTAAAACACTATAATTTTTTTTCATGAGATTCTAATACAATGACATAATTTCTCCTTCCCTTTGCTCCCATGTAACTCCTTGTTCATCTATAAATGCAACCTGCTTATTCTGTATAATATTGCTTATTTATATATGTTTTCAACTCAAACAGTTTTGGTGGCTCACAATGTAAACATCTTGAAGTTGCTCATATTAATATTTTGATTGAAGAAGCAAATATATGAAATACAGCAATTTTTAGAAGCTTACACACTTCGTGTATATTACTGTTACCTCAGAGCTATGTAATTCCTCAGCTTTTTGTAAGAACATCCCAAGGGATTTCATAAAACACTTAATAATTTTCTCTTAGGACAATGTCTTGGTCTTTTCCAAAACATTAAATGAGTATAAATAGTGTGACCTGTGCTGCAATATGTCTAGTGGCCAAATAAATGTGAAGCCAGAAAATGAAATATTAAAATATAAAATCGACTTACAGAAATGGAGTTATATCAACTCATCTAATTGGTTGTTGATCAAGTCCCAAATGGCACCAGCTGCTGTAAATGAGACCTCTTACACATGGATAGTCCCAAATTTCTTTGTCCTCCTAACATTTTTCTAATTGTTTTACATGGTTAAAATTGTTTGTTTAAGTATTACTTTACACACATTTTAATGCAAAAATGGAGGCAATGCTGGGCAGTGGTGTCGAGCTCCTTTAATCCCAGCACTCGGGAGGCAGGGGCAGGCGGATCTCTGTGAGTCTGAGGCCAGCCTGGGCTTCACAGTGAGTGCCAGTATAGGCTCCAAAGCTACACAGAGAAATCGTGTCTTAAAAAGCCAAAAGAAAAAAAAAAGAGGCAAGGGGTTGGCTAATTCTGGAAGACTCTTGTCTTCTATAGTCAACATAAGGTGAGCACCTTATTTCAAGACAAATAAGCTGGTTGGGACATTAACTTATACACTATCCTCTCATATTCGTCACGGACTTTTACCTGAGACACGTGTCCAGCCAAAATGCTAGATAGACTCTTTGTGTTTTTAGAGGACCGTGTTAGACCGTAACTAGAGACCAACTATCAAAATGAGAGACCTAGGCCCCAGAAAACCCCTGATTGGCAGCCCGTACACAGACCCTGAACAGCTCAGCTCCAAGCCCCAACCCAATGGAAAAAAAACACCCTGGATTTGGGACCTTAGCCATCAAAAAAGACACTTTATTCACGAACCTAGCACCAGGAAAAAACACGCCAGCTCTACAACTAATGCCAAAAGAACACACTTGACCCCTAGAATCAGAACCTGTAAAAGAAATTCGCCCAGGCCCTAAAATTGGAGCCTAAAAGCTGAAAAGAACCACAGAAAGAAACACAGTTTGGCTCTCAAACCAGAGCCATCTCTGCTTTTGACACAAAACCAGCCAATCCCTGAGCAGGGAAAACTGACCAATCCCTGAGCAGTAAAGTAGTAACCCCCAGCCTGGGGTGTGAGCTTTCCAGCCAGGGAAATAGGGGCACGGTAACTCTAGTCTAGAGACACGACCTTCTCCTGACCTCAGC